TTAATGATTTGATACTTTTTTAGTATTTGTCAGGGATTAAATCTTAAGTATTTAATATAAATACCAAATTTTACGTTTAGCACACATAATGGTATGAAAATGCGATGAAAAGTACAAGACAAGGGCTTAAAAATAATCAAACAAATGTATTACAGTCTTCTTGATTCGCACGGTTTATATCCAAGAACAGAATTTTGTAACAAAATTTATACACAACATCCATACACCTTCAATAACGAACTACATAAATATAAATTTACACTCAATATATCGCTTATTTCGTGGTAGCAATTAATTCCTTAAAACGATTCTTAAATGCTAATACTTTTAAGTGGTTTCTAAAAGTAACGTTCTTGCATAAAAAAGTGTATTTAGGTTTTCTATATAAGCAATATTTCCGTTTGCCGTTTAGAGTAGAATGTTACAGTTGATATGGTAGATTCCAAAATAATATTACCCGAGGATAAGCATGTCATGAATGCAGCTTTATTTAAGGGGACAACTTAGGAATGTCCTTTGCACTGCAACAACGCAGCATTCGTGATGTACTCCAGTCCTCATTCTGCGTAAGTTTAGTTCGCAGGAGTGACTGGTAATTTAGGAAAACAATAAGCATTTCCTGCATTATATGACATAGGTATGAGCAAATGTTCTTGTAAATTTGAACAAAATTAATAAAAAGTACATTTATTTATTTGCACCCTCCTATTTCTGTGCATTTAATTAACACATTGTGACATAGAAATAAATTTAAAGTCAGAAACTTAAAAAAAATGGAAATCTCTGTACTGTTTTTAGGGGGAAAATATCCGTTTTTTTTTTTTTTTCATGCAAGTTTTTAAAATATTAAACGAGCAAAGATAATTAGACTGATATCAATCTCATAATTAAGCATTATGCTGTCCTTGAAAGAGTTTACATTTTGTTGGAAAAAAATTCTTTTGAATCAGATATACTTCATTTCTGCAGGTAAATCCTAGTTTTAGAATTTCGATGAAAAGCTAGGATTTACCAGAAGTTGTGGAAAATGTGCATTTCAAGAATACAAAAATATTTAACTGGAAATGTAGTGCGAAAACTGTATAAACATGATGATACATCTGAAATCAGGTACGAAATGAATGGCGGTTCAATATTACCAACTTCAAACAATGTGCCATTTTAATGTTTATTTTAAATACACTCTTTTGAAAAAAAAAAAAAAAAAAAATCGAAGCACTAAGAAGGGCGTTTGCGGTCGTGACGAAATTTGGCATGCAAAAACATCTTGATCAAACATGCAAATGTTCAAAGTTTCAAGGCAAATGAATAGGAATTGCGATCATAGCACGCATTTCTAGTGCGCAATTCGTAAAGTGTAAAACCAGTAACAGAGGCGGAAAATTTATCTTTTTTTGTTGGTGTCATTGAAATTTGGTAAAGAAGCAACTAAAGATGCCATTACGACGATATCGAAGACCTTACAGACAATTAAACGACTTATAGACAATTAAACGATCACGCAACTCTACAATGCGAACGTGTTCGCATTGTAGAGTTGCGTGAAGCTGGCTGGACATACCGAGCAATACGCTGCCACCTGCAGCGTACAGACACTACTGTGCAAAGATGTTGGCAGCAATGGTTGCTACAAAGAAATTGCCGATGAAATTATGGCTCTGGAAGACCAAGGAGCACAAATGTGAGGCAAGATAAGATGACTGTTCGCCGGACTGAAACCGCCCCAACGGTATCATTGTCGACTATTCAACGCACTAGAACCACATCTATACCTCCCGTGGTGCCGTCCAAAATCTCACGGTGCTTCTCAGAGGCAGGGTTACGCTCACAGAGGCCTTTAAGGCGTTTGCCTCTGACCCCACAATATCGGCGGAGTCGTCTGGAATGGTGTCGAGCCGATCACCATGGCTGCCATCACACTGGCATCGTTAGTGTTCAGCGATGAATCCCGCTTCACTCTTGAAGCAGATGACCAACGTGTTCGTGTCTGGAGAAGGGGCCAGCGGTCCCAATCATCTCAACGATATATTGGATATATTGAGATCATCCTGCTACTGGTTGCATTACCCTTCATTGCACGTCATCCTGGGACCATTTTCAACAAGACAATGACAGGACACATACCGCTCGCATATCTCTGGACTGTCTTCGTGCGGCTGATCCTCTTCTTTGGCAAGCAAGGTCACCAGACCTTTCACCAATCGAGCATGTCTGGGACATGGTAGGCCACCAGATTTGGTGTACACAAATTATGGCAGATCTGGAGGGACAACTAATTAATGCCTAGCAGAATGTGTCGCAGGATGACATTAGGAACCTCTACAAGTCCTTGCCTCGACGAATTCAAGCACGCACTGCCGCTAGGGGTGGTTCGAACAACTACTAATGTGAACACTCAATGGATGATTGTGAGCCGTTAACAGGTACTATGACCTTGATTTTTTAATAATTTTACTACCTGTGTATGAGGTATACACATATTTAATTTCATCACTTCTATCATGGTGCTTCGATTTTTTTTTTTTTTTTCAAAAGAGTGTATAATGAATATTTTAAATATAATGAATATTCAAGATAAAATGACGTTTATTATCAACTTTTTTCTTGGAACTGAGTTCTGGTTTCTGCAGTTTTAAGAGCAAATTCGATTAAATCAGAAATAGAATTCAGTATTTTAACTATTATTAAAAATTCTTACCTAAGCCCAAATTTGATTACCATTCAAAGTCGCAAACATCTCCAAGGGCAAAATAATATGCTTTTACCTCATGTAATTTTCATAAAAGCTGTGTAGCATGCTGAAAAATCACAATTTATTAAAAATGTGGTATTAAGAGAACATAACTCTGCTTATGTTTTCTTTCCGGAAAATAAGGAAATAATTAACAATTTTTTTCTTCGCATTTTTTTACAATTTTCTTTTACTGGATTTGAAATTAACTAGTATTGATTTGGTGGAAAAGTTTTACTTATGTAAATCTAGGGTTAATATTGTTTAGAAACACATCGCGAAAATAGCCTCCGTTTTGTTTGTTTACATAGAACATTTAGCTAAATGAAATATAGTTGAACAGAATGCAGCTTTAGTTAAACGTAATTTAAGTAAAATTAATATTTAAAAATCGCGTATTATCATTAAAAAAGTTTCAGAAAAAATACAGAACCATATTGAGTAAAGTGAGCATACAGTACAATTAAAGCAAAGTGAGATTAGTGAAAGAACAAACAGAATTTCATGCAAAGCATAAATGTGATGGTTAACTTAGCAATAAATACTTTTAGTTAATTCTTTTTTAATTCCATGATAAAAAATATGACAGTAAAAACCAAGATATTATGTTATTTAATTAAAATAAAAATACTAAGTAATTGCGGATTTCACACATAGATGGCTTCAGTTGAATTTTTAGGGTTGCAGACGTAGTACAAATGTAAAACACATTTTGTTATTTGATAGTTGGTAATTAAGCTGTCAATCAGTAAAAAAGGTTTTTTGATCGATTGCGTAGTTTTCGTTTGGCGTTCGTTGAAAAATGGAAAATCAAAAGGAGCATTTTCGTCATATTTTGCTTTTTTATTTACGCAAAGGGAAATCGCATCGCAAGGTCATAAAACGTTATGTGCTGTTTATGGTGACGAAGCCTTAAAAGAACGGCAGTGTCAAATTGGTTTGCCAAATTTCGTTCTGGTGATTTTTCACTCAAAGATGAAAAAAGACTCAAAGATGGTCACTCGACAAAAATTATTGGAGCTTGGTTGGGATGTTTTGCCACATCCACCATATAGTCCTGACCTTGCGCCATCTGATTACTTTTTGTTTCGATCTTTACAAAACTCCTTGAATGGTAAAAAATTCAATAATGATGATGATGTCAAATCGTACCAGATTCGGTTTTTTGCTAATAAAAACCAGAAGTTTTATGAACGTGGGATTATGATGCTGCCTGAAAGATGGCAAAAGGTCATTGATCAAAATGGGCAATAGTTATTTAGTTCCATGAAAAAATTGTCTTTGATTTTCTAAAAAAAAATCCGCAATTACTTAGTTGACAACCCAATATTTTCACGTGAAATCCATATTAGACCTCAAAATAAAGGCAAATATTTCATTCTAAAATATGTTTAAAATGATAAATATTTTTTTTTTACTTTTTAACGTTCTTATTTGGTAGTAAACGTTCTGTAATATTACAAACTTTGCCATAATAGAAATACTATGTAACTGACTTATCATGTTTCCGTTTCCAGCTTTAAAGCTCTCCTTTATTTGATTTCATAACAAGAACATCATAAACTAAAAATATTAGATAATATCCTTAAATATTGCACAGCTCCATAAAACGTAGATTCAGGTTTTGCGTTTGGATTATAAATTATCATTAACACGAAAGAAAAAGATATTAAAAGAACTAATGCTTTCTGATGACATTGAAATTATGCACAATTGTTAACTTACTCTTGGTACTACATGTACAACGCGTCACATGTGATATGTAGTTCCAGAACAGCATACAAAATACATCGTATTAAAATGTTGTGTATCGAAATATTAATTTCTGTTATTAATGAATAATCATTTAAACCTGCCAAAAATCACATCAAAGGTACTGGTCCCTTTTTGGTTCGCTTATATTAGCTTACACAGCATAATTATCCGCTGCTGTATAAAACACCAGCAAATGATGTTAGTTTATTATACGTTTTAAATCGCAAAGCATTGCATCACTTAAAAATAATCATACATAATTTTGTAGGAATTTGTAGTACCAGGATTAAAATAGCATCGCTAAGCATAAAATTCGCACATGTGTTTCATTAGAAGGGGTCACATTTTCATATTAAATTACGTCACTAATTTGGCCGTTGTGATGAACACATCTTTTATTACATTGCTATCTGTAATGGAATGTTCTCGTACTGATGCTTCTATGAATAGTTTAATTAATTTCAGCTGCTAAAGATTTTAGCCGTACATTTATTTAATCCTCTTGATCTCAGGATAAAAGAAAACAACAGAAAGTTTTATTTAAGCGCTTTTTTAGTATTATGTTAATTTCAACTGTCTTCTGAAACCTGTGCTTTGGGTACAACACCTTCTGTGTTTCCGTTAGGTGACTGCCATTTTATAACATCAGGAGAAGCCCTTTTATCATTCTCGCTAATATTTTCTTGAGATTGCGAAGTTCTGCTATCGCTAATTGTTGGTAGAAGATTTAAATTGGCAGCCGATGTTGTAGAACTTTGAGATGCACTGAGAAATCCCCTTGAACATCTGTCTTGATTTCCTCCTAGATTTATTATTATGTTTTTGTAGACGGCGCTGCCTGGTGTCTCATCGCTGCCAGTACTAGCACTTTCCTCAATGATGGATGATGTTGCATCTATCAAACTATCCTGACTCACTGTAGGTGAAAAACTTGCTTCTGACACCCCTTCTTGAGGAATAGGTAAAGTAGAGGCTTCCCCACTTGAGGCGAGAACAGCTTGTAATTTATTATAATGTGCTTTTTTATTTAACAACTGAAGTGCTTTAGAACGTTTCATTTCTTTCAATGATAAAACTTCTTCCACTTCATAATCTTGCAGCTCATTTTCCTCAGGCATTTTGTATTCAATTTCAACTCGGTCAGAACGATAGCGGGATTTAGAATTCGGTTTAGTATGACCTCTGATCATTGGACTCGTGGTATCGTAAGCCATATTTATCGATGCATGATTGGAACCGCATATAGAATAGTGGCGGCAGCTATCACCAAAGAAAGGGTGTTTATGATGGCAACTATCGAGCTTGCATGGCGCCACGGCATGTTTCATTTCTTCTTCATCTGGTGCCAGGGTGGACATAACGGTCTCAGAGCGCATTATTCGCTTTCGTAGTGATGGCAGAAGTGCCTCAAGCAAGTCGTAAGACGTTTGGCATGCCACATCCTCTCTGTGTGGAATAACTTCTTCGGTATAGGCCTGCTTTATCATCCCAACAAGCCTTTTCTTATCATGTGCTACACCTGGCGACTCATCACCGCTTGAGGTACTTCGCTGCACAGGTAAGATAGTAGATCCCAAACCAGAGAAATTGAAGGAATCGGTACGCCTGAGACGCGTCCTTCTATCCAAAGCTTCAGCGGCGCGAACAGCCCTAATATGCTGAGCGACATTGGCAGCTATTTTATCCTGCTTACTAATGCGCAAGCGAACGAAGAGATTCATGCTGTGACGTCGATTGCTCGCTGGTTCACTTTTTTGATTCTTCTGAACAATGTCCAGTGACAGGTTTCTGAAATGAGAAAAAGTAACCGTAGTTATTTGGTAATTTAAAACATTTCATAAAAAACTAAATGCAAAGCTTTAAAATAATTGTGAATCAGATGTATTTAACTCACTATCATTTGTGTTTCTGCAAAGCATTAATACCTAAACACAAACAAAAGATATATGTCTAATTCTGTCTGTGGCTCCATGTATATTTATTAAAACTACACCTTCATAAAACAGATAAACATTTAAATAATCTAAATGTTAACGACAAAGGCCATAAATTATATTAGTAATATATTTGAAACAGTTGCTCTCACTGCAGATTTGTATTCCATTCATATATTATTTATAACTAATGATTAAATTGCCGACGCATATTCTGTCTTGTAAGTAAATATAGTATAGGAAACATTTTACTAAGAGTTTAAGTGTTGTATATGTGAAACGTCCTAGGTATGTAATCTCTCTGAAGAAACCAAGACTGTGTCTTCCTGATGTGGCTATCCCCGGGGAATCCTGATACAGAATGTAGCTGTCGAAGACATTAACGAATAACGAACGATAATAAAAATAGAACGAAAATAAAAATCTAACAAAGTGTCCCATGAAGCAACGCATCCTTTCATAGTTAAATGCCTGACGAAATAAATAAAATACCAAGTAGAGCCGAATGGTGTAACGCAGCAGCAGTTGCAGTCAAATTATCATCTGTTACCATCTTATGCTTTTATCACATGTCATAGGTTGACATGTCCTATTCGTATGTTTTATAAAGTTCAAGAAAAGCATCTATTAAAACTTATGTTTCACTTACCTCCCGCATTCTACTTTGGATGGCTACTACGTATCCTACTACGTAAGCAACTCTCAACAGCCATAAAAACTAAGAAACAATGTCTCAAACACATAACATTATGTATCGCTACTTTCGGCTATATTTCAGTCTAAATAATAGCTGAATAGAAAGATAAGTTTGCATCATATTTTAGCTTAATTATCCTATCTCTATCTATATAATAAACACGTTTACTCTTTAACAAGAACTTTAAGAATATTTTTGAACTTTCCGGAAAACGTAAAACGTAAAGAGTGTAGGGTAACCCTCTGAAATGTAGCTGGCCTTCGGTGATAATATTAAACGATTCCCACTATGTTTCTAATGTGATGTGTCAGGAGTGACTAATTAGCAACGCAACATAAAGGTGTAATACTGCGCTGTTTGGCGACATCAAGTTGCCGGACATTCACCTGACAGAAAGCAAGACGGTACCGCATCTTCCAGAAAGCATAGTACAATCATTGAAAGCCGACTGTATTTAATTGGGGTACCCTGTATAATAAAAAAAAATAAAGATTAAAAATAAAATTATAAATACACTCATCCGGTTTAAAATAAAATAAAAAGAATATAAACATATAAAATATTTTCAACAAAAATAAAAATACTTATACAACAAAAATATAAATTTTTAAATATCAAAGAATTATCCTAAGTAAAGAATTCTGAAATCATTGCAGATATTTGCAGGTGACACTTTGCACCATGTTCATCCCTAATTGTCTGTTGCTAACGGAAGAGAAATCATGATAATAATGTTGGAAAAAAATGCGTGCTCACGCACTTTCAGATAAATGTTTGTCTCAATATGAAAAGCATGAAACATCGTCTAATCTTTTGCTATCGTCTTATAATTTAGAGTTGTAACATTTCACAAACCTTTCGCTTAACAATTTTGAATGACATCTATATTTTTTTCTCAATCCAGAACGACCTTTACGAATTCTCATTCCGCATAAACCTTTTGTGTGTGGACTGAAAATATTATATGTATATTTTCACATCGGGTATGAACAGTTTGAATGTAGAATAAAACTTCTTGTTTCATTGTAAATGTGCAAAGCTTTTATGAAAAGTTCCTTAATCTCTTTTTATGTGGAATAACTAAAGCAGTTGCATGTATTTTCAGTAGGTAGCAGTAGAGCTTTTAAATTTACCTTCGAAATAACAATCAGTAATCACATTTTCTCTGACTTAAAGACATATACGTGAACCTGAAATAAGACTGGGAATTTGGTTACAAAATCTATTTCAATATGTTTTCCATAAGAAAGGCAAAACTCTACGATTATTGAGATGCGTGTATAATTATTAAAAAACATTTCATTCCTGAAGATTTTAATCTCCGTAGATCAGATTTAATTTTACTTTATCTTCAATCCCGAACAAGATCTCTGAACGTTATTTGAATGATTTTGAGGCACTAAACATATCTCTAACTATGGTATATGATCCTCCTCTTTCATATTCATGATTACTTGAATGAAGACACTTCTCTGCAACTTAAATACAGGTGGCTGCGGTGCAGCGTTCACATCATCTAAAACTTTGCCCTGGCTGCAAAATAGATGCAAGTATGTTGTAAATGCTTTTGCATAAAATATATATTTTTATACCCTCGAAATTATACAAAAATAACCAGAGACTATATGAGCTCTGTGCATTCGATTTAGGACAGAAGACATCAATACCTCCTCTAACCTACTCTTCAAACGGAACAAACTAGCGTTTACAGCAAAACGCAGCAGAGATTTTTCATCGAATTCAATCTTTCAGCGTCAGAATGTGGCTATGGCTGGTTTGCTTGGAGGATTGCCGCAGCAAACTGACACGAATTGCCACAGTTTGAACAAGAGGTATTGCACATTTATTTTTTAGGTAATATTTCTTTTAGATAGTTGTGGATTACGGAAATTTAAAATTGTAATCTAATTTCTACATAAAAAATTTCCTTTTTTCAACCTCAGAGATGGAAAAGATCTAAATTATGAGTCGAAGATTTGTAAAGTATTTTCCCTTCCTCACCGCGTGCCTCTAGGTGTAATTTGAAGCAAGTTTGGCTACCATCGGAAAGAGCATAGTTCAAATTCCGTCGGGAGTAATGTTGAGTCCTTGCATATTTTATTTTTAAAAAATCTAAATGGCCTCTAAAATGGCGCCCGAACTAAAAGATAGTAAACGATAGTTCGTGACCGCAAGGACTTCGACAAAGCCCATTCGTCCTTTATATGTAATATATATATTCGTCCTTTATATATTACTAATATTATATTATTATTACTATTAATTTTTATTTCTCAAAACTCCTGTCCTGTTTTCAAAGGTAATTTCTCCAGCTCTACCTTTTCTGTATTCCAACTATTCTTTCTAAAATATGCAAAAAAGAAATTAAATATAAAATTACTTCAGAAGACGCAAAAGTAGGATTCACTTAATTAGAGCTAGATTAACACTGCATTTATCTACGAAAACTTTCCTGGTATTCTACAGTCCCTGGTCTATTCATTCCTTGTATATTCAAATTTCCAGAACTGCTGTTAATGAGCCTGGGGTTTTCCTAACTTCTTCGGGCAAAGCAGATTTGAAATAAAGTTTGATAAGTGTAAAATCGTTTCGTTCTAATTTGTTAAAGTTATGTGTGCTATTGAAAATACTTTCTGGAAGTACGTCTAGTGCTATAAATCTCAGAGCGGAAGCTTTCATGTATTATTTTTCAAAGTCTGTAAAGAAGTGTGTATATAAGATCATTTTAATTAGTTAAATTAAATGATTTTATATACACACTTCTTTAATATTTAATTTAATTTTTGACTTATAGGATTGATGAGAATATTAATTTTATAATTTAGTTAATTGTCTACAGCACTAATTATACAAGGCAAAAACACCTGAGAGGTAGTAGTTAGTCAGTTAATTTACAGTACTACGTAACAATATGTGCTACAATGCAATGTGTAAGCTTTAATGATATTACTTCAATAATATTCATGAAAACAAGTTTAGATAAATTGTTAGATTTTGATTAATAATGGAGAGTTGCAAGCGAATTCAACTCGAATTATATATAATATATATATATAATATTATATATAATTATATATACGAATTATATATAATATATCTATAATACATTATAATGTTATATATATCAAAAATCTTAATATTATAATGTATCTCACAATTTTAATGTACTATTATATATATATATATATATATAATATATTACATTATATAATTTTGAGATTAATTTTTTTGGAATATTATTTTTTTTTTCATGGTTTTAGATATGTGCACTTAATTTACATATACCCTTAGAATTTAAATGACATTTAAAATCAGTTCGCAGTAATAAGTAATTTTTTATTTTGCAATTAAAATTTCTTAATTAAATTAAAAATTTATATTAGCTTTTTACGAATAGAGAATAGGTGTTAAATTATAATATATATGTGTATATATATATAAAAAAAATGTAACATAGTTTCTTAATTCTGCATCAATGTTTTCTCTCTTAAACTGGCTAAAACTTCAGTTAATTGATTAAATTTACTGTTTAATATCACTATTTTCTGGCCAAACCTATCTTTTTCATTAATTTTCAGGGCCAATTTCATTTCGAACTCGCTTGTCATCCCTCTAGCACAAAGAATTACGACTTGTTACTAACAAAGTTCTGATATTTTCCGATGCTACCTGCTTTTGGCCAGATTAGCACTTTGATTTTCGCCATTTTGTAATCGTTTTCATTTTTTTAACGACCTATTCTTGAACAAGACGCCATTTTATAAGAGTTTTGTATATCCGTCTTCCACCTAAAAAAAAAAAGAAAAAAAAGGAAAAACTTTTGGACCGTGCGTTTTCCCCTACTGACCGTTTAGAATTATTGGCTACTTCCTTTCCACGTTTTTTCCTCCCTTCCACGTAGTCTCACCTAATTGGTGAATTTTGACTGCTTTTCTGTTCTGGAAGCATGTCTTTGGATTTAATTATTGCAACATAATCTAATTATTGCAACATTTTTAGCGGTATTTCCTCACCACGTAGCTATGTTAGTCATTTTCTTCTATTTTTCTTTGCCTTTGATGTTATCAGGACCTAGATTTAAGTCGTTATTTTTGTTATTTTTATTTTTAAATCTTAATTTCTTTTGAAAAAAGTTTTTATTCTTCGCATTTATATAGCTTCCATTAAAACTGTGTATTTTTTCGACTAATAGCCTTAAAGCTATTTATTTTAAATTGTACATTTGCCACCAATGCTACCTAGTATAGGTTTTTTCGTGCTACAGTTGCAGGCATTTAATAATTTTTTAACCAGAATTTCTTTCCTGTGTTCTATTTGTTCTTTATTACAATTTTAATTTCATTTGCAGGCGCGTCGGGACAAGAAGCGAAGCCATTGAGACTTAACTTTATTAAGATAATTTAATTTGATAAATTTATTAATGAATTTCGCTTGCTTTTAAATAAATAATTGCTTTCGTTTGACGAAACGCGCCAAGGAAATTGGGCTAAATTGGAGTTTTCTTGCGCTTTTCCGCTGTTAAGTCCGCAGGAAACCTCGAATTGGGTTAATTTACCATTTTTTGCAATTCTATGTATATAATTTCTTTGGCTTTAAAATGTTTTTGTTTGCGTGCATAATAAAACAAATTTTGATTCTAAAAAAAATTAGCCTTTACTTAATCCATTCTTCTTTTTGAAGTATATTATTGTTGTAAATATTGCAGCAGGTTTCTTCGCATTAACTTTTACTGCTATAATATTTAACTTTTTTACTTGGTGTAAATTCTTTACTCTGGAACTGCAGTATCTAATGTGCTTTAAAGCTTTAGCTATTTTTTACTTTCCTCTTCTGTGCAAGTATACATATAGATATTATTGATGCAGTTATATGTAATAATAAAGGTATTACATAGAAGCTTTCAAATGAATGGAATTTCCACTTCAAGTCAAAATTACCTAGCATTTATCTACGAGAGCAAAACCTGTTTCTGATATTCCTTTGCTATATATTGTCAATTTATATTTACCAATTGGTCATTCATGTCATTGTTAGGATGTTTTTGTCTAGAATAGAGGTAATTAACTGCGAAAAAAGATTTTTTAAACTGTCAATACACGGAATTCATTGATATATTTAAAAATCAATACTTTTGAAATAATTTGATTTTAAAATTACTGTTAAAATATCTTCCAGGTTTAAAAAATTATCTGTCCTTCTAAAACTTTCAAATGGGCTTTAGATTATATGAATGTAAGAATTATAGCAAACGCCTTTAAAAAATCAGATTAATTAATACATATGTATAATAATTTCAGAAAATCTAGCTGTATTGCGAATGTGATTACTTTTACTTTTGGAGCAAAATGCTGCAATATAAATAAATAAGGAAATTTATTGTAATGAATTTATGGTTATAAATGGATAAAGAGATTTTTTGTACTATTGCAGTTTAAGTAAACGCAGCAAAGCACTTTAAGTTTATCTAAATACGTTTCGAGTACATAAAGCTTTAAATTCGTTTCAATGATTCAAATTTATTGTTAAAAAAATTCAATTTGAAGAACTTTCAGAAATGAATACTTAAAAGTCCATCATTTATACTAATGAAAGACATTTTGTATTTTGAGGATTTTCCAAGCATAATTATGTTTTTTGTATCCTGAAATATTTTACATACTTGTAAATGAAATCTCTGCATACTTTTACAAGATTTCTAATTCCAATATTAATAATAGCGAATCGTAAAGCCTACGCTGTGATTAAGTGATTTGGGAATTCAAATTACCTTCTGTTCATTAAATCTGAAAATATGCAGTTCGATATGTATGGAAAAAAATGCAAGTTGTTTTTAATCTCTGCTTATGTTTTAATTTCTCATTTACTCGACATTTAGCATCTCACATTTACTGTATTTAGGAGACATTTGAAGTGAAAACGACCTTCCTATTTTTTCAAATGTCTTTTTGATCGCAAATGGGTTTCTTGATTGAATTCGCTTATATAATTTTATAATAGGATACACGTAAGTAAACGGAAGCTTTAAATGCTAGTTCAGCGCTTTAAAAGAAAGATGAAAGAATGATTTTGCATTCCTGAAAGATACTTCATTGAAGTATACTTTAATTACAGGAATTACTTCAATTTTATAAATTTTGTACTTCTTATTTTAAATCTAAATAAAAAAGTATAATTATTTGTATATAAAAACTTATGCCTTCTAAATAAAAAATTAGTCTTACCTCTGAATAAAAGATACAGTTAAAAATTCTAATTTCTCTATAGAAATACCAAACGTTTCTCAGTCAAACAAAATACTGTTATAAATTTTCTACTCCAGTTGCAGTTATTAATCATTTCCGTGGTTTTATAACAGATTATAAAGTAAGTAATTTAGTAATTAATTTAGTCTACTGCAACTCCGTACTTCATTTACATGTATATTAATTCATATTTCTCGAAAACAGACTATAGCTTCTTGTTTGTTTCAAACGCATTTATTTCTTGAAATCCTGTTTCGTGTAGGGGTTAAAGGTAATTATTTTATTTTAATGCACATTATTATTTCATTTAAAGTAGGAAATAGAACAAATATATACCTTGGGGATTCGAGACTAAATTCTGAAGTGGAATGTGAGGAATTTCTGGAAATAGCTGCAGCAGAAGTAGGATAACCTAAAAAATAAATCAAAGATTTCAGAATTATTCATAATTCTGCACATTTTCACTCCAAGTGTAGCCTCTATTAAAGTACACTTATAAGGAACTTAATACTTTAAAAATGAACAATTATCTGACAATTCTCAACAAAATAATAATAATAATAATATAATAAAATAAAAATAAAAATAAAAAATCTGAGGTTTTTGAAGCCAGTACTTTGCACAGCTGGTAATCATACTTTCAGATTAAGTTACTAATTGCTTAAGTGAACACATTTTGTCAACACATATAATAGAAATACCTTTAACAAAAAATCTGAATTTTAAATGAATTATTCAAACCATGTATAGAAACATAAAGCAGTTTTGCTCTTAAGAAATATTTTAAAAGTTGCTTCTAACAAAAGGCCAGTTTATCGAACTACCAAAATTTGGTGCAACATATTTTTGCATCCAGCAGAGTAGATAAAGTTCGTGTGTTTATTGTAATAATCCGACAAATAGGGAACTCTTTGACAACTCTGTGACTTAGGTCGTGTTGTTTACGGAAGTATAATACACAATTATGAGTACCTCAATATAAGATAACACTTTTTGATTAAGGAAATTCTGATTTTATAAATATCCACCAACATTAGCCAGAATTCTGCAATAAGTAATAACAATTAATTAATTTTTTAAGACTATCAAAAATTTTGTGAACATGAAGTGCCATAGAGAAAACTAATAGTGTCTAATATTTACGATCGATGATATCATATACCCACTATTCAAAGAACCCGAAAATTTTGCTTTTTCATCAAGCAGTATAATTATGAAATTTAACCTACGTGCTTCAAACCTAATACACATTGAAGACAAAATAACAGCTACGTCGATAACTGATTTACTCATTATTCGAATGACTCAAAATTTGGGAACAGCGAGAAATTCCGTCCAGAAACCAGATTCTTCGATTTCGTCATGCAAATGTAAGCATATCTTGCGGAAATTATCATATTTTTACAAGTAAAGAATGGTGCACTAATTGCCATTCCATTTTTTTTTTTTTTTTTTTTTTTTTTTTTTTTTGTATTTTGCGCATTTGAGGCTTCATCGAAATATTACAAAATGAATGCGTAGTTAGTTATGAAAATGGGAAGTGGGTTTAATGCAGAATGTGTTCCTGTTGTTTCATGCTCTCTTGGAAGCGAACTTTCGCATTTGTTACAACTCTCTGGAATACGTGTTCAAAAACTAACTGCACGGTAAGAGTAATGAATTGCGAAGCATTTGAATGCCAAATCTTTCAAAATATGCAGTGAACAAAAATTACATGGATTGATGTCAGGCATGCGAGGGACATAGTCCGCTACTTTCGTAACACTCCGGAGACCGATATGATATTACACGCACATGAAACACACTCATACAAGAAACCAAGAAAAATATTTGCAGTAAGAAATCGGGTTTCATCTTGCACGAACCAATCAATGTGTAAAGGAAGTTCCATTGCCATTTTCCCTAGTGTGTAGATACTTAATCTGTGCCACCAATTATTCTTCAGAATAGATCCAGTGGCTTCCAAGTGCTCACATAATCTGTAAATTGGCTGTTTGCAAAAAGCCCAGCTTGTTTCTTATCGTGCACGGAAACATCTTTATATCTCCACCAGATACTTTTTATCATTAGAAAAATTATACTAATTGACCGTTATGCACCATCTTGCAAACTGCTGTTTTACGGTACATTAGAGAATTAAATTCGTTTTAATTCGTTAAATACTGATTATTTCACTAACGTGAATTTCCATGAATAAAAGCACTCGAATATGTGCCTTTAACATAAAAATGTTATATAATGTGCATAATTTACATTCTTGTGTATAATGCAGTTTGCCTAATCTAGTTCAGATATTAGCATGTATATTCTGTTTGGGTAATGTAATTTTGAAAAGAAAGGACAACCTAGAGGAGGAAGTTTACATTTTAGAGCGTTTAATAGGGAATATTTTGATATGCCAGAAACAGCTTTTATATTTTGCTTTACATTTCTCTAACTGTCTATGAAAAACTAAATTAAAAATAATTAATTAATTAAATTTTTAAAAGCGCTGCGTTACCTTCACATTAGCTACTGACTAATATCACATTTAAAATATTAAACACAATATCTATTAAAAGACGCACTAGAGACAATTCATTTCTGTTCCCTTGAAATATTGTTAAAATTAAAGCTTTTTTATCGATAAGCTTTGGTTATTGTTTTTGCGACTAATCTCGCTTTGTCATATGCTTTGGTTGTTCAGTCATGCAAATTTTGGCGCGTAATTCAGCAGCGCTCAATTTTTTTTCTCATGTAAGCTTTTCGTTTCTTATTAGCTTGTGTTGATCTTAACCGTAACGCAGTACGCTTAAAGTCGATAGACAATACATTTTAAGTTGAATAGTTGGACACAAGAATATTCTGTTGAATATTCGAGTTTTCATTTTTAATGTTATGTTTCAAATGTATTTTGGTCAGTTGAATTTGAGATGTATATAACAAGGTTTTAAGTTTACTTTCAGATGGAAATATTTAGTTTAAAAACTAAAGACACAGTGAATATTATTTGAAATATGACACATTTTTATAAAAGCTTTAGAGAACTTACACATAAATACTTTAGACGCATATAAAATCAATTTGTTCACGGTTTTAAGATGTCAAATCTAATTGTAAATGTGTGCAACCATAATATAAAGTACTTAAACAACGTGAAGTCGACAGTTAGGCTAAAATCTTCCAGAGATCCTTAAGGCAAATTAATTCAGTTGATACGAAGAATACAAGATAAGTATTATATTCCATTAGGTAAATTTGCAGCCAAAATACACTACGAACATACTTCACATATGAATTGAAAAACGATATTTTTATAAACCAAGCTTTGGAAAATCTATGAAGTATTTATGAACCACTGTAAAGGTTCCGGTTTTCCTAGAATTCCGACGGTTCAATATCAAGCTTGCCGACAAAGCAGAATTGAAGTATATCCTATTACTTTAAAGATGAATAAGAATCAAGAATCATATTCCAACTTAAAGCCTAATCTTACAGCAAATTGTAAAACATCTTGTTTTGAAAAAAATTAAAATTAGATTTTGCTTGTTGTTAAATTATTATTTCTCTATTTTGAAAAACATTCAAAATTTTCCTCATTAAAATTGCGTTTAAGTATACATTTTAAACAAATAGAAACATATATGCAAATTTTGCTTGCATCGATGCTTGCTTTTCGAATTAAAATTCTTCAGTACTACTTATTTAATTTGCATAAGATGATTATGTGCCTTCAGAAGTGAGGGTATCGTGAAAATAATTCTGTGACACGATTCAAATTGTTCAATTCTCATTGCGCAAAAGCAAAATTAGTTCCAGTTATGCAACAAATTAAATATTAACTGGTTCCATATAATACACATTTCAATCATTTTATTGATTCCTATTCTTAGAAACGTTTTCAAAATGAAAACCAAATATATATGCTTTGCGCAGAAAGAAATAACTTATTTCCTGAAGAATATTTTGCAAAGAAGTCTTATATTAAACAATTTTTATGACCTTTTATTATCCTTTAACAAAAGGGACACCCTTACCATTCTATTTTCACTTCTCTAAAATTTTCTAATTACTAAGGTTTGTATGTACAGCTTGATGCACAATTTACAAATAGCGTGTTAAATAATTTCGTCAAACCAATTACTCAGTATGCATAGTCCAGTTACGCATAATCTATTCGACTTCCAGTAACGTGATGTGCTGCTGACAGCTAGATCTATCAACGCTGTCATGACAAAGGCTGTTGAGGGAAGTTTGCAGAAGCCATCTAAAGAATCTTTAAATTAATTTTCTTTTTATTTATACGGAAGCAAAGGAGCTAATGTTATTTACTATTATTTTACGTACTAATTCATAAATAAATTATATTATTCCGCCTTAATACTAAATTTTAATTTAATTTAATTAATTTCATAAATTAAATTCCGAAGTCAAACAACAAAAATCAGCGTTATATTTTAAAATTTTCACAGGACTAGTTTCGATAGTTTTACCGAATCACCATCCTCAGCTGCAAAAGCGCAAATGAACGAGATAGAACATAATGATTAGATAAGATAAGAACGCCTGGACAAGAATAAGCAAGTGGCGCCATTTGTCGATGAAACCAGAAATAAAACATAATTTCTTTAAAGGCCGAAGGCAAAGATGGATTGGAATTAGGCTCGTCAACTAGAACAGAAATATTTTTTTGAATGTGAAATGCCTCTAGAAAATCCAGTTCTCCAATGGAAGATGTTTTTTGAATAATTTTGGCAGCAGAAAAATTGAAAGTGTGATTTTCGGACCAACAATGTTGGGCAACAGACGACTTCTGTGTTTCCTTTTTTCTAACATATGCCTCATGTTCCTTGACTCGAAATTTTAAGGCTCTCTTAGTTTGGCCAATGTAAATTAAACCACATTGGCAAGAAATCCTATAAATACCCCAGGAATTCATATCCGGAATTCCATTCCGGATAATTCATACATTAATATTTACTTTAAACTAGCAAAAACATGTATACTTTGGAATAATTATGTTATCTTGGAATATTTCACTTAGTCCATTTAAAATTTCAGAAAGAATTGTTGCAAAATATATTCTAGAATAACTTATACCCATTCAAAATATAATTTAATTATTTTTCATTGTATAAATAGCAACGTGCAAATGCTTAAACGTCAGAGCATATATGAAACCAGTTTTTCAATTCCATTAGTGCTTGGGATTATCCACGGGATTAAAAATATGAGGAAGTTTCTAGGAAGTGGCATTTCGTTTTAAATTATTAATCTGAGAAAGTTTCGTTCAAAGCTGAGTACGGTATCATAAATTATTACGCATGTAACTTTATTTACAATGAAACTGGAATCCTACTTTTCATATACTTTGATAGGCTATTTTAACTACCAACATTAAGTGCCGTGAGGAAAAATCAGGTCAGGTATGAAATCTATACACACATACTATATCTACCTTACTGGAGAGACGTGCCTTAAAAATAGCGGAATTGGTATTAAAGAAAAATACCTTTAGAAAAAAGAAAAGATTTTGAGAGTGATGAACGGAAAAATATTCTCGATAAAGACCCAGGTCAGGCATTTAAGGACTTGAACATGAATAAATATATTCATTATACAAAATTAATATATTGAAAAATTCGAAGACATTTTGCACCCTAAATTGCAATCTGTAGAATTATTCCACACGTGATATGCATGCACTATATTATTTTGGAAAACCTTGAACCAGATAACCATAGTAATCTGCAAATGTTTCCTTGCAGGGAATGTTGAATATATATTTAAACTTCTCTTCAAATAACTATGCATAGGCTATTACAATATATTGTATAATTAAGAACAAGTTTCTTTAAATATTTTTTCTTGTTTTTCAATTTTTCAAGATATTTTCGCTCAGTTCCCAGGACATACGTATTCAAGTAAGAGACCGTTTCTGAAAACGCCAATATATTTGTAACACCAATTAATGGCATGTTTTATATATATATGTTTATAACGATAAGTATTTAAAAAATGTATGCTTATAACAGAAATTTTATTTTATATTAGTGAATAGATTAGTGCGTTTAAGGATTAATATTCTAAGCAGGAATGTAATAGTACTTATAGAAGGAAAATTCTTAATTACTTAATTATTTATAAATTAATTAAATAAAAAATCAACATTCAGCTGAGGAAGGAACAAATTTTCCTGGAATCCTGTAATACATATTTCGCTTTTCATCATCTATTTGTGATTTAAACTATGAATTTCACATTAAAATTAATAAGTAATAGAGTAATATGATAATAGAGTATTTAACAATAGAGTAATATGAGAAGTAAGAAAATATTCAGACCTCTACCTATATGGCATCGGACATCTTTGGTTGTTGTGAAAGCACTCCTATTATTTTTGTCAGGCCGAAAAAGTATGATATAAATCTTTGGAAAGAACAGAAGAACCAGAGCTACGATAGCACTGAAACTGATGCACAAACACATAGTTATCACCTTCGAATTGCTGCCAAAGTATATAGGTACAAAGGCAATCCATATCACAAGAGTCGTGTACATGGTAAAGCCGATAAATTTTGCCTCGTTGAAGTTCTCCGGTACATTACGCGTTTTCACAGCATAAACAGTGCACATGGCTATCAGGAAGAAGTCGAAACCTAGAGGAGCTATAATGCCCAAAGGTGTAGTGTTACAAATCAAATTCACTTTGTCCAACGAAGGATAAGAATACATGGAATTGGCTGGTTCAAGAACCAGCATGACAGCAATGATGCATGATTCGACTGAAATCAACAGCCACGTGATCACAACTTGTGCAGTTCCACTCATGAAACGAGGTTTCTTCGTGATTATCTTCTTCTTGCTACCCGCAAGTATACGGGCTATTCTGTTCGTTTTCGTGACTAAAGAAGCATACATCATTGCGAAGCTAAATGCTGGCATCACTCTGGTAAAAAAGCAAGATGTTTGCGTAGGTTTAGCTAGTAAAGGAAATGTGCACCCATGGCAGAGGTACATGCCAACAAGAATAACATAGGATAATTCCCTTGTCGAGGCTTTGACAACCGGCGTATTATTGTGGCGAATGAACACAACCATCGTGAAGAAAGTCGCAATCATACCCATAACAGCAATCGTAACTGCAACTATAGCTGTGCTATCAGTCCATTGAATGTAGTCAACGGGGATTCTGTCACAGTCTGAAAGAATAAAAATCATGAAATTATTACACTGGCATTGCACCGATAATGAAAAATATGGAGTAAAAAGTGGCTAATATATAGAAGCATAACGATAAGCATAAGCAATGCGATATTTTAGAGCTCCTGAATCAATTAAAATTAAGCTTACATATTGTTATAGTTATTATGTTATGTTAAAGGTACATCAATGCTAAAATTATCCTTATTATGTTACGTTATTTGTACTTCATCGAATATTTATGTTTCAAAACGCATACGAAAGAAAATATCATTCCACTAATAATATGCAAATTTTAAATATGTTTTTTTGTCTTATTATTTCTCTGCTTCTCCTCCGTGGTAGTTTACTATAGCTGAGATCTATATTCTGGCACTCTCAACTCTGGGGCTGTAAAATACACAAGCACGGTTCCTGCAATCCAAAAGAGCAGTCTATGCTGTTCCACTGGTTTCGGCCAACTGAGTGGGTAGCGTGATGGCTAGTGGTTTCATCGGATTATATTCACCGGATTTCGCCGGAGTGTGTTCATTCTTTCGTGGCGTATTTGAAAGATTATGTAAAACGTTTGCCGTCTTTTATGGCGGTCATCAACGTTGAAGCAAATGAGACGAAATTTCTTCTCTCAGAGGTGATGATGCGATACCGGTCCTCTCGCCTCATACGGAGTACAGCAAAGAAGGCAAGCACGTATTGTGATGGAGTACATATGATTAGTGTTATTTCTATGCTTAAACATTCACTCACTCTACAAACATCTAAACAGATTAAACAAGTATACGCAAAATTATGATTAACTTAACTAGAAAAAATTATCAGGTTTTCGCAATTTTTCAAGTTTGCCAATTAGTTCATCGTTAATTTAAATTTAAAAAATAAAAAATAAAAATAAGTAAGTCGAGTTCAGTTCATTTGAATTTAGAAAAGCTACAGCCAAATGCAGTCCACTATATCAATGAAACATATTTAACATATTGTTACTTGCGTAGGGGTTCGTATTGGACTGAATGCACAAGTCGATAAAAAGTTAATAAAATTTATTCTTATTCCAAGAAATAAAACAAAATGCTGAAATCTCCTCAGAGATACTCGTACAATATCGCAATATCTCACAGTAGTTATATTTTAAACTACTAAAACGTTTAATAGAACTCAATTCATAAACACAGAAAGCTAATCCGATTTCACCGCGAATTCACTACAACCAATAGCAGTGTTAAATAGCTTAAGTTCACGCCGGGAAATAATGTTATGAATCTTACTTCACGGCACCAATGTTATATCTTAAATTCATATAAAAATGTTAAATATGAAACTACTTGCCGTTAAAGGCAGTAATCGTATAGTGAAACGTGTACAGCATTTTTGCGTTGTGAAAAAAAATGCATTCCGGGACCGCGCCGTGAGAGGATCGAAAACATAAAACATATACAAGATATAAAGGAAAAGTTCATATTAAATATATAAAGAAAAACATACAGTAAGAGGTTCCAGATTAAATATCAGTTTATTCAATTATATCACACTAAGAAAAATCTTAACCTCATCTGAGAGTCTTTTCATTTAAATTCATAAAAAAAACTTAAGGTTTGTCAGGTGATTTAAAAGAAAGGAAAGGGAAACAATTGATGGCCTGAGAGTTAAATTTTAGATTCGACGTTGTTTTTACTGCTAAGGACGTTTTTGAAAAACTTGCCTAAAGTTCCAACACACCAAAATGATAATACTTATCTTGAGTGGACATCTTGAAGTGGAGGAGAGCTCCTATCTTAGCTCTATCCTTACGTCACTTGGCAAATCCGCAAGACAGAGACTAGAACGGCGCGCAATAAATTACATCAGCTATACCGTCAAATCTTACGCCTGCTACTGGTTTCCATAGAAGAAAATTATTCCCACTGGAAGCAAGAGAACAGCTTACACCGCACGGCTGTCTGCCCAGACTCTCAGCTCCACCAAGGAAAACGTAGACAATTAAGCTAGGCATTTTAGAGAAAGGCTAACGCAGGTTTCCAGTTGACTAAGGTGACATAATTCCTTCTGTTTTCAAGTCGGAGTTCAGAGGACATCGTCCTGACTTTTGCCGATACAGATAGAGACCCAAGTCTCTGTTAATTTTTTTGTTATTCGCTCAACAGTTTTTTTTTTCTTCGCATTTTTGAGAAAACCCGCAGCCGGGGAGCATAATTGCCGCTCCCCGCCGGAAGCACTGCTCGATGCCGACTAAATCTTTTCCTTTCTCCGGTCAAGAGTAAGTGTATCTCGCCTCTTAACCAAACGCGGCCGGGGAGCATATTTGCCGCTCCCCGCCGGAAAACACCTCTCGGAGTCACTTACATTTTGTCCAGCAAGCCCAAAAATCAGCGAGTCAGTCCGAGAGTCAGCCAAAAGTAAGTCTGTATCCAACTCGAATTCCCTTCGTCTCCTTCACAAAACGGGCTCCCACTATGGCTTCACTTATCGCCCCCTTAATTATGGCAAAATCTTCGTTTTCAACTCCAGAATGCGGAAATAAGGGTGATCGCGCATGCGCGCCCTTCTTCACTTAGCCAACAACCGGACCCTCAATCGCCAAAAACCTGAATGACTTACATTGAAAGACAAGTAGCAACCTTTGACCTTTCCGTCACGTACTTTCCTCTCTTAAGGTCAACTAACAATGAAAATTCTTTCTCGAACATTCTAAAGCGCGCGAAATCATGACTTGGCGAAAATTGCCTCCCTTTCCCTGCTTCTTTCACAATGAATAAAAGTTTGTACAAGATTTACAAATAGAGGAAAATAAATAATACTCTTTTAAACTAAATAATATTCCCAGAAGCATCTGTCTTTCCCCAAAAATTAAAGCCTTAAATTAAATAATTCAGAATCAAAATAAAATTTAAATTTCCATAAATCATAAAATCATTCACCTAATTTTTTTATAACGCTATCAGATAATTTCTCTACATAACAGCAGCACTAAATAAACAACTGAATTGAGATGTTTTGATCCGGCTTTTGTAAGCTTTTTAATCATGCACGAGAACATTCTGGTATTTTCTGGATTTTTCTGGATAGCAAAAGAGTACAACTATGAGATATCTATTTATTAAGTGTTAAATGCGCATGCTCCTGAATGAAATCAAGATGTTCACTTGCAATACAGCGTTTAGCATATTTATATTTATCTAAAGTTTTAATACTACACGGTATCTAAGATGACGGGCGATAGATTATTTTCCGATATTTCATTTTCCAAAACTCCGTTTCTTCTGTACATTTGGTTATTCGAACTAAAGCGACTGACGATTTTTCTCATCAAACTGAATTAGTCAACTCGATCCAACTGGGTGTTTGCTCTTTCGCCCTTTATGTAGAGGGATCTAAAGAATTCGGATACTCATTTTATGTTCTCCTATAGTGCAACGGCTAACATATTACAGTCCATTTTCATATTCAGTATAGACAAACATTAGTTTTAAACATATTTTAATATAAGTCGATATTGTTATGCAATATTGTTTCTAATTTTGATTTTAAGTAATTTACTGCTTCTTAATTCAGTTTTGTCAGTAACTGAATTTTATTAATTTGATTTTATTTGTTCAGTTAAAGTAATTGTTATAAGTTAATTTTTTAAGCTGTAATTGGTTAACTTTAAAATTTAAGTTTGGTAGTATTCAAGTCCTAGTTTAAAATTTAAGTTTGGTAGTGTTTATTTTTATCCTTTAAAGTGAGGTTTGATTTTTTAAACTTTTAATTTTTGTTAAAGCACTTAAACACTAGTTTTGCGTGTAAATATAATTAGTTTTTGTTTAACGTTTACCCCTCTTTCTGGTAAAATTTATGAATCCATATTTTCTGACTCTGGTAGTAATGTCGACTAAGATGTCGAAGAAACGTAAATTTTAGAAATAATCATTCATACGAATAGCTGTGTAATTATAGTATTTCAGCAGTGTAAAGAAAAACATGTCTTGTGATTGACTGAATTTAAACGTCAGGTACTAGATTTACTATTCAGTACCTTTAATTTGTCTAAATGTAATGAAAGTTATATAATAGAATTAATTCAGTGCTTGTGTTAACACTAATTTTTTCGACAAGTAGTTGGAATGGAAAAACATTCCAGTTTCCCAGACTTTGTCAAAACTATTTCTTCTTATCTGGAATAAACTAAGTCCCTTCCTTTTGAAGGTGACTTCTTCTCCCAAATGTTTATCCATCTGTAAAATTTGCATATTCTGGCCCCTTCACTCGCTGGGTGCCTTAGATGCAATTGTAGTACGAGGATTGGCTTACGGGGGTGAAACATTTGGCCGTTAAGATTATCCTAGTTGAACCCTGGTTTTTTTCTTTCAGGCGAGGCTAGAAGGTTCCCGCCAAATAAGAAAAAGCGACTGCGCAAGTAAACAGACGGAGAGCATCTGAAAGGGAAAAGTGGAGACTCACTTCCATTAACTGCGACGAAACAACGAGAAGAAACATATAACGGATATTCGCACAGAAGGGAGAATAACCAGCGAAATCATGGAAGTTTAGTACCCTCCTGATAGATGAGAGAGAAAGACTGTCCAGGGCGGAAAATTGTATGGAGAGCCTTGCCTCGGTCACTGATTCCTCTCCTTTGTCGAATTAATTTACTTAATTTTTTTTTATTATTTATTTTTATACATGATGATGTGTTCCTGAAAGAAGGCGGGATTCATGTCTGTTTTTTCACAGATGAAAAAATGTATTATAAAGCTGTTTTCTCCTTAATATAATTGTGAAATGTTTAAGTAATTTGTGGGGCCGCGTTTAGATGACATATAAATAATTTTGAAAGGTATGTTTTTTGTCACTGTTTCTTTTGTTCTAAAACTTAGTCAAGCCACCTTATGTTGTAAACTACAATGTAATTTTCGTACCACACCAATATTTTACTCACAATAAATGTTTGAGATTTACTTATTTGTTTGTTTGATTTTTATTACTTATGCACTGGACTGTAACAAAATTTACCTTTAAGCTGGAT